CACATTGGGTGTAGAAATTACTTAAACATAAAATCTTAAAAAAAAAAAAAAAAAAGAGTGATTTAGACAGGGTCAAAAAAAGAAAAACCTCACAAAATTATTTAACATATTTAAAACAAAAAGGCAAAGATAATAGGCTGAAAACAAAGATCAGACAAATGCAAAGAACGGGGCAAAAAAGCTCATATTATGGAAGCAAAGAAAGAGGCAGGACACAATACATAAAACAAATAGGACTGTTTTATATTGAAAAACGTAGAACTCACAATAAGATACGAAATGCATGAATACTGCTGGGTGCTGAAATATGTAAAGTGGAAATTGCTGAAATCTCAGGAGAAATGGACAGAAACAAACAAGAAAATGGAAACATTAATCCACTTCTCTTAATCATCCATAGACCAAATAATCAAAAATATAAGAACAGTAATTAAAGATACTGCTTTAATAAGAATACACTTAATTCTCTAACATAGAGAATATGTCTCCAGAATCCACAAAATATTTATAAAAAATTTATTGTGTAGTAAGCCCCCCAAATATAAGTGAATGTCTAAGCAGAAATTTTATAGGCCACATTTTCTGATGAAAATTCAATAAACATGAATCCAAATAACAAAGTCTAAATTAAAAAATTCAACCACCTAGAGACTGAAATGATTTCGGTTCACTTCTTTGCAAATGTTTTCCCTGAAATCACTGTATCAAAAGAAGCAGGGAATTAGTTTAAGTATCACATTCCGTCTTGCTCAAGAGTCACAGGTATAAGAGCAAAGGAAGCCAAAAATTCTAGCCAAATTCTCCATTCCTTCCCTGGGGCCAAAGCCTACTACCATTGACAGTTTTCAAGGCCCAGAGACAGGAGAATAATATTCCTAAATAAATGGTTTGCTTAACAACCAGACTGAAACCATCCATCTAGCAATTTGGCCTCCTGTGAATGAAGAGCTCTTCACACAGCTAACTCAGTAGAAAAGATCAAATAAGGATCTATTCCAACACTTAAGTACAAACAAGCTAGAAGAAAATACCTTGCACTGTACTGCCCGACAGGAAGAGATCCCAGGTATTTATTTTATAGATTGTCTTAATAACACACAAAACTGAGAAATCCACCATCGCATAAGAATTATAAAAAAATTCAAAGAACCAATGGTTTATTCAGATTCAATGTAATTTTGTAATTCAAAATATACTTATAAAGCAACTACTAAAAAATGTGAATGTGTTAGCTATCTCAGGAATATAAATCTTAAGATGTACTCAATTTCAGAGGCTTACAAACTACTATAAGATACAATCTCCATTTTGGGGGTTCAGAATTGCTAATTAAACGATTTGAATCTTCCTTGTCCTTACTACTTTTTCGTCTGCTTTATCAGGTTTCAATAGGAATGCATCAGAATTTCCCATTAGGACTGTCAATCACTCAATGCTGCCTTTCAATTCCCTTAGAATTTTTTGGGACTAGGGGTATATTATAATCTTGGTGGGCTGTGTCTCTTTTTTCATTATACAGTTTACCAAAATATGTCTATTGATGTGTTTTTGCTTTAAATTCTACTGTTTTGACTCTCTGCGACAGGTTCATTTCCCCACCTTTACCCCCACCCTCCATCTCCCTTGGCCAGGGGAAGCTGAATGAAGACTGTGGCCCATGGGAAAGGAGAAGCAGAATGGCTGCCTGACAGCTTCTGGAATGGAAGGAAATAAAGATCTTTTGTAAAAGAAAAGTTCTTAATTTTGATGAAGTCCAAATCATCATTTTGTTTTCTATTATGGATCCTGCTTTCAGTGTCATGTGTAAGACCTCTTCATCTAGCTCTTGGTCCCAAAGATTTTCTACTCTGTTTTCTCCTGAAAGTTTAAAGTTTTACATTTCAATCTCAATTCATTTTTGAACCAATTTGATACAAGATAGATGAGGTTTAGGTTGACTTTTTTGGTTTACGGATGTCTTGCTGTTCCAGTAGCATTCGCTGAAAAGGCTAAACCTTCTTCCATTTCGTTTATATGTGCTTTTAATATGAAGACTCATTCGTATCTTCCTGCAATCTGGGAAATACTCTGGCATCATTATCTCTTCAAATGCTGTTTCTCCATGATTCCCTCCATTCTCTGCCTCACTAGTGGGAGGCTCTCCATCTTTCCTCCATGTCTCTTAACTCACTCATCTTTCATTCTCTGTATCTCTTTATCTCTCTGTGTTACACCCCAGGTTAGTAATTGAAATCACTGGTACTATCATTCAACTCAGTCCCTCTTTAATTGTGCCCAGTCTAGAGTTTACCCCATATGATTTTTTTGTTACTTTAACAAATACCTTTTATATTTCCAGTACTTTTAACTAGTTCTCTTCTAAATCCACCCCTTAATTCTCATCTGCTTGGTCTTCTTTCACAATTTCTTAGACATTTACCATGGCCATTATTCCTTCATCTCTTTGATGATTTTAAACATATTTATTTGAAGTTGATTTTCAGAATGCTTATTGTATTTTCTTGGGAGTGAATTCATCTCCTGATTATTGTCTTTCTTAATACTCATTATATTCATTTGTTTGGGAGTCTTAATTTGCTAGTTCTTCTTGAATAGGAACAGTTTCTCTCTTTCTCTCTCTCCCTCCCTTCCTCCCCACATCTCCCTGTTCTTAAACAGCTTTGCACCATCCTCCATCCCCATGAGAGCAGAGACCTTCACTCTAGAACCAGGTCTTATCCTGACAGCTCAGGGTTCCCATCCCTTGGAAACACTAGGGCTATCATAAAGCCGGTCATGTCACGGCCAGGTCCCAGCTGCACTGCTACCTCTCTTCCCTCTCCACCCCAGAAACACAACTTTGAACAAGCCACAGACCCAGGCAGCTTTGCTCAGTTTCTTTTCATAAGGAGGACAGTCCCATCCCAGTTTCTAGTTTCCAGCAGTGAGACTTCCACTCGTCTTGATCCAGGCATGAAGTTCCTTTGGTCTCCATACCCTCAAGCAGTGTTGTCCACTCTTTTGACATGATGGCATGCTTTGAAAATAACAGTATGTGTACCACATGTGGGTAGATGGATATTTGAATATTTTAATATCACCCATAATACTAGAGTAGGGAGTATAATGTAATAGAGAACAGCTAGGGCTCTGAAGCCAGAGATCCCCAGGTTTTAATGCCAGTTCTAGCACTTACTGTGTGATTTAGGAAGGTTACTTAGTCTCTCTGAGCTTTAGTTTCCTCATCCATAACATTATGTCACAGTTAGACTCTTGACTCTGTTCACTACTAGCTGTGTAACTCTGGGCAGCCCTGTGTGTCTCTTGGTCTCAGTGCTTGCACTAAGCAATATCTTAGTTAACTCAGACATGCACAAATTCCCTAGCACTTTGGGTCCTTTTCCTGTTTTCTTGCTTGTACTTCGTGTTGAAAAAAAGGATAACACTATAGGTCAGCCTTGGGCTGAGCTGTTGAATCAACCCTTTTCTGAGCCTACGTGTTTGAAAAGGCTTGGTTGAAAGGTTTCTATTGCCACAGAAGCAGTAAAGATTATCTTTACATTCACAATTTATTCAGGCAAAGTGGAGGGTAATGTCATAAGAACTTGAAAAAATAATTTATTTTTTAAAAGATGTTATTTATTTTAGAAATAGAGAGAGAGAAAGCATGTGCATGAGCAGGGGGAGGGCCAGAGGGTGAGGGAGAGACAGAATCCCAAGCAGACTCCACCCTGAACTCACAGCCTGATGTGGGGCTCAATCTCACGACCCTGAGATCATGACCTGAGCTGAAATCCAGAGTTGGATGCTCAACTGACTGAGCCACCCTGGTGCCCCCAAAGAATAATTTAAGTACAAATTAAATGTACCTCAAGAAGAAAGAAATAAAACAACTGACCACAGACTGGACTGTTCTAAGAGAAGAGAAAGTCTCCATAAGAATCCATTCCAAGGGGCGCCTGGGTGGCTCAGTGGGTTAAGCCTCTGCCTTCGGCTCAGGTCATGGTCTCGGGGTCCTGGGATTGAGCCCCGCATCGGGCTCTCTGCTCAGCGCAGAGCCTGCTTCCTGTTCTCTCTCTGCCTGCCTCTCCGCCTACTTGTGATCTCTGTCTGTCAAATGAATAAAATATTAAAAAAAAAAAAAAGTGAAGACACTTAGAAGGCTCCCCTTCAAGTGTCCTCAAGTTCTTCCAATTGTTTAAAAAAAAAAAAAAGAATCCATTCCAAAATGAAGGCACCCACTATATTTTGACCCAAACCTTACTGCTCAAGAGAGCACAGGAAACTAGAAGAGGCTGGCTATCTGATGAGACATTTAAGTAGAGAACCAACATGGCAAAGCACTTTGATGTTTGGGTTATGATATATAGGCAGGAGTCTATTCAAGTGCTACACTTTCAATAAAATAATTTAATCCTAAACAGAGCTTAGAAACTGAGGAAAAAACCATACCACTGACAAAGAAGACTGTAACTCACACCAAAAGAAAATAATACCAAAAACCTTAGCATCAAACAGACCAGAAGTCAAATCTTGATTCTGCCATCTCCCACTGGTGTGACCTTTAGCAAATATCAATTCTCTGATTCTGAATTTCCTCCTCTGCAGAATAAGGATCATGATGCTTACCTCACAGAGAGCCAGGAGAATTAAACAATAAATTTGGTACATAGAGATCAGCATTAGTGTCCAACTCATGGTAGGTGTTCAACAAATATTAGTTCCTTCCTATGGCCTCCCATGCAACTTCAACCAGCAAGCATCATTAAAAGGGTTTGAAAACTGCTAAAATGAATTTCTTCATGTCTAGATTTACAAACTCATCAGTCTACTTCATAAGCAGATTCTCTGAGATAAGCCTGAGATACACAGACCCAAGATCTGGTGAGCGACCTGACCTGGATCCGCGTGGACGTCTGGTTCCCAGGCCAATGCCTAGAAAGACTGACTGGGCCCAGAATGCAGCAGGGGTGGCCAGAAGACAGCCAGAAACTAGAGCAGCCAAAAAGAGGAAGGATTACTTGAGCTTCGGCTCCCGTCCTTCACTTGTGTACTGCCAGCAGATGAGCCCGATCAGGTCCTGCACCCTGGCGCTGGCCATCGTCACCACGGTCATTGGCAGCAGTCTATCCTGGCTCGAGTGCAGGGGGAGGTAGACGTCGATCTTCTTGGTTGCTGTTGTGCCTACATGACCCTGTGGAAGGAACACATGCAGGAGAGTAAAGCACACAGTCATGGTCATGCAGATGCCACTGGGCCACAATGACTACCCACCAGCCATTTTTCATCCTTTTGGCACAGACCTCCTTCAGAGCCTGAAATGGCCCCAAAGTGGAAACACTGTCTTGTTTTAAGGGTTTTTTTTTCTCCTTTAATTTTCATTTTCTAATGGTCTAATAGATCCAGCTCTGCCTGCAGTAAGGTAAGTGAGCACTACATCCAAAATAAATTAAGAGTCGTGAACAGACCTGATGTTTGGTGTCAGAAAATGTGCTTTGCTACTTATATGGTGTGGCCTTGGACAAATCACCATGAGACCCTGACATCAGCTGCTCTCCCTGAAAATTACACCACTCCTTGAGACTTTGGAATTAGCTGCATGGGAGGCTGCCATACTCCATGTGTGAGGAAGCATTTAGGCCTGCAGCACTGGAACCAAGGGCTTGCCTTCTCACAGCCTAGGGGGGCTAATTCCCTTATGCAGCACACCTATTTATTTCAGTCATCTGCATTAAAGTTCAGGGATCCTTGGTCTTACATTATTGTCCTAACAACAATACCCAAACTGCCCTATACATACTCAATTCCTCCCACACACTTATTCTCCTTCCTGAAACTTCCACTACCCTCTGAAACTCCTGCACTAATCAGCAAACTTCCATAAATCACATTTTTTTTAAGATTTTATTTATTTATTTGAGAGACAGAGAGTGAAAGAGAGCATGAGAGCTTAGAAGGTCAGAGGGAGAAGTGGACTTCCCACGGACCTGGGAGCCCGATGTAGGACTCGATCTTGGGACTCCAAGATCATGACTTGAGCTGAAGGCAGTCACCAACTGAGCCACCCAGTCATCCTAAATCATTTATTTAAATATATATATTTTTAAACATTCCTTCTACCGCTTTGTCTTAATTGAAACTTTCTGGTCACTGAGGACACTGCTTCCTCTGCTGTCCAGAAGACTGTTCTGTATTTTTCTTTTTTAAACTCAAGTCCTCAAGGCCAGGATGTTGAATAGGTATTCTTGTCCCCACTATTTCTAAACTATTATTTCTCCTTTCTTGCAAAAATCCCTGTTGTTTTGAGACCGAGGCCTTCCAACTATACTATCCTTTCCTCCTATTTTTTTTTGTTTCTGTTACCCACCAACCTTCCAGGTATGCGTCTCTCTCACTGAGGAGTCTTCTTTCCACCCCAACAACTATCATCATTCTTGGCAATCCCATCTAAAGGAAAATCCATGTAATACCCAAGTGTCTCAATCCCTAGACCATGTCATCCCATGTGTTTTTTCTCTTCTCCCTTCAATCACTTATAGTGGGTACACCAGGGATCTGTACCAACTCCAAAATCTCAAATTAGAACATCTATTCAGTAACTATACTTTAATATACTTTCATCTTACTTGTTCAAGTACTTCCCCAAATTCCTCAACACACAATTTACCGATCCACCACTATGAATGATGTCACCATTATTTCCCAATAACGCCCTCGAGATTACATGATCAACCATTGTAATCATTCCTTTGTAAATACAGTTTTAATACTCTTTTCCTCCATGGGACTCAACTGGCAGAATGCCAAACTTGGATAAACCCAAACCTCTGTACTCCCCAACCAAATACTGCTGGAGAAAAATCCTGTAACTGCACAGATTGTTTTGCCTTTAAATTCATGATGATAAAACTCAAACACTCAACATTGGATAGCATGCCTATTATAGCTCCTGATCCAATCTGCACCCCATGCATGCAAGACCACCCCTGCATACTTTTGCTTCTCTCCTCAAACTCCTCATGAGCCCGCCATGACCTCAGCTCCTATCCTTTGCTCATATACTGCCAACAGATGAGAAATATTCTTACTCTTCATTAAGAAAAGAAGACCTTTCAGAAAGGAATTCTCTTTTCCTCCCATAATTAAATTCACAAACTTAACCTGAATTTAACCACATACACCTCCTACACCAGAGTGTCACTCATCGCATTAAAGGTTACTCTCTCTACTAATATTCTGTGCCCCCTTGGCTCTTACTTTCACAAGGACTTTAATCCTTTACTTACTTTACCCTTCTCCTACATTATCAGCCTCTTACTCTTTTGGCTTCCATGATATACACTCTTGGTTTTTTCAGTGCTCTCTGGTCTCTCATTCTCAGTCTCCTTTGCAGATTTCTTCACCTCTATAGTCTCTGTTTGTTAGCACTCCTTGGTCTCTAGATTGGGCTCTCTTTTGTCTCTCTGTATATTTCTTCCCTAGGTATTTTACAACCCCAAAGCTATAGTACAATCTACATTCTGTTGACACCCAAATCTTATCTTCATCTCAAACTTCCCCCTGGAATTCCAAATTCATACATCAAACCGTCTATACAATACGTAGAAAAGTATCACAAACTTTGAAACTCAAGTTCAAATCTGAACTTTTCATTATTCCTCACTCCATTCCACACCAAATAACAACACTCTCCCTCATTTCAGGAAATGTTACTACCACTAATCCAGCTGCTTAAATCAGTAATAAATTCTTCTTTCTTCTTCCTGTTTTCTACCTATTCTCTTAGTAAGTTCTAGTGTTTACTGCAAAAATGTATTTCCATAGAGAAAAAAATAGTCTTTTCAGCAAATGGGACAACTGGATAGCCACACACAAAAGAATGAATTTAGACCCCCTACCTCACATCATATACAAATATTAATTCAAAATGCATTGAGATGCCTAGGTGGCTCAGCCAGTTAAGTTCCTGCCTTTGGCTCAGATCATGATCCCAGGATTCTGGGATCCCACATGGGGCTCTTTGCTCGGTAGGGAGCATGCTTCTCCCTCTGCTTGCCACTCGCCCTGCTTATGCTCTCTCTCTCTGACCAATAAATGAATAGAATAAAATCTTTTTTAAAAACATGGATCGAAGAGCTAAGTTTAAGGTTAAAACTGTTAAACTTTTAGAAGGAAATATAGGTGTAACTTTTTCATGACCTTTGATTAGGCAATGATTTCTTTAACATGACACCAAAAGAAGCAACAAATAAACTGGACTTTATAAAAATTGAAAACTAGTGTCTCAAGAGCACGATCAAGAAAGCAAAAAGACAATCCACAGAATAGGAAAAAATATTTGCCAATCATATAGCTGACAAAAATTTTAGTACCCAGAATACATAAACAGTCCTTATGACTCAACAATAAAAAGAAAAATAATCCAATCTTTAAGGACTTAATTTATTTATCTGAGCAAGAAAGACAGAAAGAGCAGGGGGAGGGGCAATGGGAGAGGAAGAAGGAGAATCCCATGCAGACTCCCCGGCTGAGTGTGGAGCCTGAGGAGGGGCTAAATCTCACATCCTGGCATCATGACTTGAGCCAAAATGAAGAATTCAGCACTTAAACCCACTAAGCACCCAGGCGGCCCCTCCAATCTTTAAAAGGGCAAAGAACTTGAATAGATATTTCTCCAAAGAAAATATACAAATGGCCAATAAACACATGAAATAATGTTCAACAGCATCATTCATTAAGGAAATGCCAAACCCAAATCACAATGAGATACCACTTCACACTCACTAGGATGGTTATAATTTTTTTTTTTTAACAGAAGAAATAAGAAGGATTAGCATGGATATGGAGATGTTAGAACCCTCAGACATTGTTGGTGAAGATGTAAAATGCTGCAGCCATTATGGAAAAATAATTTGTCAGTTTCTCAAAACTTAAACATATAGTTACCATAAGACTCAGCAATTCCATTCTAGGTGTACTCAAGGGAACTGAAAATGTGTACATAAGTGTACACAGCAGCATTACGCATGATGACCAAAGAATGGAAACAATCCAGACATCCATCAACTGATGGATAGATAGGCAAAAATGAAACCAATGGAATATTACTTAGCCATAAAAAGGGACAATGTACTGACATTCTATAACATGGATGAGGCTTGAAAACATCATGCTAAGAGAAGGAAGCCATTTCATAAAAATTAACCCAGTTATATGAAATGTCCAGATATTAGTCAAAGCTATAGAAACAAAAAGATTAATGGTTGTCAGGATGTTGGGAGGGGTAAGGTATAGGGTATTGAGAAGTATGAAGTTTCTTTTTGGGGTGATGGAATTGTTCTGGAGTTAGATAGTGGTGATAGCTGTATAACATTGGGAATATACTGAAAACCATGAAATTATACACTTTAAGGTCATTAAAACAGTAAATTCTATGTAATGGGAATTTTAACTCAATTTTAAAAATTGAAAAATCTGTATTTCAAAACCATCCCACTTCTCTGCATCTCCACTGCCACCAAAATACTATGAAGTTTCACCTGGATTGTTCTAATAAATTCTTGACCTCCTATACTCTTACCTACTTCAATTTGTTCTTGAAACACAAGCTGGATTTTTTTTTTTTCACTCAAATTGGATATTACACCTCTGCTTAAATTCCTTCAATGAGTGCTCCCATGATACTCTGAATAAAATCCAAATTTCCTGCAGTGTCCAACAAAGCACTGCATGATCTGACCTCTGCCTAACTCTCCAACATCATTTACTGCTGCTCCCTAGCTTACTTGTCATAGCTCAGCTACGCCAGCCTTCTAGAAGTGCCCCCAGTGTGTGTGTGTGTGTGTGTGTGTGTGTGTGTGTACCTGTTTCTCCCACTTTCTGGAACACAGCAAATGTTATTCACTACACCTAGAAGGCTCTTTCTCATGACGTTTGCATTCTCTAAAGTACGGGTCTGGGCAGGTTACTTAATCTCTCTGTTCCTGCATTGTCTCATATGTAAAATGATAATGACAGGAACTACCTATCAGAGAACTCTTGTGAGGATTATTATTAATTATTAATATTGTTATTATTAAAGGATCAGCTCATATGACAACTCCTCAGAGAAGCCTTCACTGATAATCCTGCAGAAAGCCCCTTCCATAGTTACTTTCTTACCCATAACCTGTTCATTTCCTTCACAGCACTTAA